ATTTTAACTCGAAGACAAGGAGAAAAGCAAGGGTTTCTTCCTCTATGGATTAGGAAGAGAAAGTATGGGGAAATTTCAAGTTTGGAGGTGTGGATGGTGGTTTTCTTGTAAGGGGTTGAGGGAGTTGCGGGAATAGGTGAAGATAGAGTGAGAGAGATGAAAGAGAGCTGATTTTAGACCCTAAATATCTAATAGGGTATGTTTTTAGTTGATACCCTCTTTCGTCTATTTTTTTATTTTTTAAAATTTTTGTTTTTTTGACTTAAGTTGACAGACTAGCCTGAACTAGGATTTCATCCAACTAAATAGACAATTCTATAGGAAACAATAGAGGCTGGGAATCCAATTCAGCAACCTCAAACAATTGGAAAATTTGCATTTTTAATCCAGGATTGGAGTTGCCATTGAGTGTTTATTAGCAAGTTGAGCTAGAAATTTTCAGGGCATTTTTCAATCCCTATTGTTATGTAGATAGACCATAAGGTTAAAGCTCCAAAAGACACACATAAACTCGATGCATAAGATTTCTTTTGGTTGTCATATGCGTTTGTAGATGCCTAGGAAAAACGTGGATGAGAGGCCATTGTATTGGAGCGCGGATTCGGAGGTGTTCCTACTTAAGCATCTCTACGAGTACCATTGTGCCAACAACAGGAAGCAACCGGAATCTCGTGACTACAACCAATAGGCTATTCAGATGGCCACTTTTTTTTATGGCTATGTACCAGCCGGTGAGCACCTTAAGGAGAAACGCCGCTGACTTAGTAAGGTGTACGCAGCATTCAAAATGTTGCAAGCCCATACTGGAGTTGGGTGGGATTCTATCAACAAAACTTTCACATGCTCGGAGGATCTACGGAAAGATCTTTCCAAGGTATAATGTGTGATTCATTAGTGGTCCCTCATTCAAATATATGTTTAATTACATTTTATGTAATAAGTGCAAATAACTTTAATAATGTTGTTTAAAATTTTGCTAGAGAAACCGTGAAGTAAACACAATTTTCAGTAACGGTTGGAAGCTTAACGACATGCACTTGGCTGCCATTTTCCCCAGTCGAGTTGTCGCTACTGGTGCAAGATCATTCCACCTCCATGGAACAAGAGCATGTGGATGGTGTCCCCTCGAATGACGTTGGAGCTGGGATTGAGGAACCACAAAACAAGCAAAACTCTCCATACCAAGACATTGATGATGATGACATTCGAGTGGAGTTTGGCCGGCGCATGGAACGCCAACGAATGGAAAATGCGACCAACGTCGCCTCGTCTTCACGTACGATTCGGAAGAGGTCGACAAGGGCACGCAAATCCAATGACAGTACGCGAGAGGAGATGCTTGAAGCGGTGAAGGGCATGCGCAATTATTTGCAGGAAGATATTCGAGCAAGCAAAGAGACCCTCCCAAGTAACAACACCGTCAATGGACCAAGTGAAGTGAGTCTGATACTACAGTCGTTGGTCGAAATGGGAATTGATCCGCGTACACGTGTCCATGCGATTGAGAAAATAGCTAAGGACGACACATGGCGTCCACTTTGGGCGGAGCTTGATGATTCGTCGAGGAGAGCCTTCTTAGATGACTTTGTTCAACTGCCCCAAACCCCTTTTGCTCCTAATCCTTATAGCCAGCCACCTCAAAACTTCTCTCACGTACCTAATCCTTATAGCCACCAACCAACCCCCTTTGGACAGCCCCCAAGCTCCTTCCAACAGCCACTAAACCCTTACAACCACCAACCTCTCTCCTTTGGACAGCCCCCGAGTGCCTTCACGCAACCTAACCCATATAGCCGTCAACCGACTCCTTAATGTGTACAAGTGAGAGTTGTAGAAGAATCTCTCCTCAAAATCACGATGCATGTTTTCTGTTTTTTTTTCCTTAATCTGCATATTTCATTTTCTTGTCATTTATACATTCCGATGTTTTGACATTACTTTCGTTTATAGAGTTTGTTGCAGTTTAAACATTAATGCTGTTTCTTTTCAAAACGAGCAATATGTAGCTTGTTGTCGTTTTTAGACATTAATGCTATTATTTTTATTGAATATGTAAGATGTTGTCGTTTGCTCTTCTTTTACAGTAAAAGTTGTAAAAGGGGTTGATATGCTGCTGAAAAAGGTAATATGTAAACGTTTTATTAGTTTGATAAAGACATATAGATAAGGATATATTTATACACACACATTGCATTTTTCCCCTGCATAAGGTATACATTGTACTTTGTTAATTAATTATGCAACAATCTTACATTTCGTGTTGTATTTTGTATTTGCCGGTTTTAACTTTTGGATCTTCTTAACTAATTAGCCTTTTATAATAT